AGACATAACTAGTGAGAATATCTCTGGTAAAGGATATTTTAATATCAGATAGAAGTATTTACTCCCAACATAGTATTCGATAGTTAAGTGTTAATGTAACGATTAGTTACAGAAAACATAATTTGATATAGAAACTCTCAGCACAATAAGAATTACCAACTGCAAAAGACTTAACTAATGGGCATATCTCTGGTTGAGGATAATTTAATATCAGACAGAAGTATCAACTCCCGTCACAATATCCGCTAGTTTAGTGTTACTGTAACTATCAGTTAAGGAAAAATATAACTGGAAGTTTTATTATTGTATTATTAAAGCTTTATCACACATTTTGCAATAGATTACCACTTACTATATAATTACTATAAAGTAACATAAGAGACATGTAAGTAATATAGGTATTTCACCAAATCTTGTCTGCAAATTTTACGTTTGAAGAAACTGAGTCGGCAGAATACATACTCGAATGCATTAATGCACATGATTAACTAGGATCGCAATTAATACGACGGAAGAGCTTTGCAATACAAAATATAACCAATATTTTTGAATCATTGAAGACAACGGGCCACTTAAAACTTAATTGGGTTACCTTTAACAACTAAGGAGATTTTCATATAAATTTACGTTTAATAGCTTAAGAATGCTCTGAGAATAGAACCTGGTGATTTAGTAAGGAAGTAAATTTTAGCAGCAGTCCACAAAATTAAGTATTAAAGAAGAAATTAGGTAATAAAAAATTAATGGGTAAACAGTAAGAGGGATAAATTAACTTTTACTGTATCAAGGCCTAGAAATTTTAGTGAGGAAGTGCCTATATCAGTTAGATTTTGATCTGTATACAATACGAAACAATTTGATAGATTGTTGATGTCGTGATGTAGTGAAAGAATATGAAAAAAAATTTGCTATTTTAAGCGGCAAATCCAAACATACATTATTGGTCAAGTCCACATCTTCTATAAAGTGATCAAGTTAGAGGAGCGTTAACTATACTTTATACAGTACATTTAAGAAGCATATACTAACAATAACTTCTGATAAGAAAATATAGAGCTTAACACCACGTTATTAAATTCAACTTTGTAAAAATAAATATATTGCGGTTTGCATAAATCTGGTATATAAACAATAATGACGAATACGTCATTTTAGTTTCGTTTCAACGCACGTTTTCAGTGCTAATTTTTTAGTACGAATTCTACATTCGTCGATAATGGTTTGACGCGGAATATAAAAATTAATTAAAATAAATTTTTAAATAAAAAAATATGGAATTTATTGGACATAATTTAAAAACAAAGGCTTATGTTTTTGAATGTGAATGTAAAAGAAATCGTGAATTAATGCAGAAGTTCTCAGAAAATTATATCAAAACACACTTAAGAAAAACTTTTAAAAAAGATATAAATATTTCAACACAACGTCTCTTTAACGACATTCTATACGAAAGTAATTACATACTTCACTCTTGTAAATTAATAAATTTAATTAACCACAAAGCCATACTGTGAAAACCGGCGACTATAAATATTTGCACATAAAAAAACAAAAAAAAATAAATTATTCACAAAAAAAAAACCTAGATGCAAAGAGCGCTGAGATAAGTTCGTTGAGTCATAGATTATATATGCGAAATACGTTTCACTCAACAGCGGTATTTGAACATAAATATATATATATATTCATATATATAAATATATGAAATGATGAGTGCTTATGTATGAAATTTATTCACTCAGTTTTTAGTGCATATCTGATAATAAATAAAATAAGAAATATATATATTATAAAGTATAAAAAAGTATAGCAGGTTTCTGTACGTTAACGTAATTGAAATACAGAGACTATATTTAAATTTCAAAATTATTTATTGAATCTACTTATTTTCTTTATCAGAAAACTGAAATTTCTTCTTCGAATAAAATTTTCTTTTCTTCTATTTTACAAGTTTTAATGTTGTCAATATACTTAAATAATAAACCAGTTTACTGTGATTATTTAGAATATGAACAGCTACATTATTCCCCCTTCCGAAAAAACACCTTGCGACCATAACGCGAAGTGTATGTCTTATGATCGTTCTTGTCAGTGACTAAAGGCTTAACTTCTTGTTCCTTAAAATATTGTTCACTGAAGGCTGCTTTGAGGCGATCCACAGAGATATTCACTTTCCTTCCCTTAACATCCACGACAAAATATTTATCGAAACGCTTAAGAACAGTGAAAGGACCTTCGTATGGAGCCTGCAATGGTTTACAAATCATGGAATTTCTGACGAAAACCTGATCCGAGGAATAAAGATCTTTTTCAATAAAAACCTTTCCACTAGAATGATGAGCAGTTTGAGTAGGTCTTAAGTCGTTCATAAATCTTTTTAGTTTAGCTACAAATTCTGCCTGAGGGTTTGAGACGTCGCGATTAACTTCTGAAATGAATTCCCCAGGTAAACGTAAGCCAACGCCATAAACCAGTTGTGAAGGACATGCGTTAATATCTTCTTTCACTACAACTCTAAATCCTAGAAGGATGAGAGGTAATATTTCAACCCAGTTGTCATTTTGATAACACTTAATGGCTGCTTTCAAAGACCTGTGAAATCTTTCAATAATTCCATTAGAAGCAGGGTGATAAGCTGTGGTACGTAAGTGCTGAATACCAAGAAGCTTAGACAGCTCTTTGAACAAATAGCATTCAAATTGTCGTCCCTGATCTGTGGTTACACGTAATGGAATGCCAAATCTTGCAATCCAGGTGGAATAGAATGCGAAAGCTACATTTTCAGCAGAAATATCCTGCAATGGACAAACCTCAGACCAGCGTGAGAAACGATCGATCATTGTCAAACAGTAACGAAAACCTCTACAGCATGGCAGTGGTCCGACAATGTCCATGTTGACGTGGTCGAAACGAGACGAAGCAGGTAGATACTGCTGAATAGGTACCTTGTTGTGACGGTGAATTTTGCTTTTTTGACAAGCAATGCAGGATTTGGCCCAAATAGCACAATCTTTCTTCATATTAGGCCAAATGAACTTTTCTGCTAATAATTTGTGAGTTCTTTTACCATTTGAGTGACAAAGGTTGTGGATCGAGTCAAAAGCGATTTTGCGGAAATGCTTCGTCAAGACCGGACGAACGTTCCCGGTAGAAATGTCACAATACACTGATACATCAGAGTTTGGTAAGGTAAAGGACTTGATTTGCAAGCTGGAGTCTCCGTTGAGAAACTTTTTAACTTCTTCATCAGTCGTTTGCTGGCAGGATTTAAAAAACTTTGATGTGCAGGCTGGCCGTATGCCTCGTTGGCGGCCGCGCCGTGTCAAAGTGATTGAGAGTGGAGAGCGTTGATGAGATTTGATGAAGTCGTCAGCTTGAGAAAGTAACTTTGATCTGTAGGCTGGCCTCATGCCTCGTTGGCGGCCGCGCCGTATCAAAGTGGGTGTAAGTTGTGCTGCTTAATTCACAGAAAAATTTATTGTGATGACCTGGATCCAGATTCATCATCTGAATGTGTCACCGGCATGCTTGTGTCTTGCGTTTTCAAATCACGTCGGGGTCACCAATATATAGCGGGTTTCTGTACGTTAACGTAATTGAAATACAGAGACTATATTTAAATTTCAAAATTATTTATTGAATCTACTTATTTTCTTTATCAGAAAACTGAAATTTCTTCTTCGAATAAAATTTTCTTTTCTTCTATTTTACAAGTTTTAATGTTGTCAATATACTTAAATAATAAACCAGTTTACTGTGATTATTTAGAATATGAGCAGCTACAAAAGCAAAGTTCCAATATTCCTTAAAGCAGATAAGAAAATCCATTGATTAAATTGTTTACATTTTCGCATTTTGAATAATATAAATTAATCAAATTGCATTATATTTTAAAATCGGATTAAGAGAAAAAAAATCTATATACATATCTATAATAATTGATAATTGATAAATCTATTGTTTTCTAATTGTTTTAAACAATTGCTAAAAAGCAGCTCTACATATGATCTTTGTAAATAATAATTGGTATCTACACATCTATACATTAAGACCGAAAAGTTTTCGGAAATTCTCATTTAAAATTCGCGCGCTGTATATTTTTCGATATTTTAAGTTTATGTAGTTTGGCAGCAATTAAGGACAATTACTATGCAAAATGAGCGCGATCTGTCAGACAGTTCGTTTACGGCAGCTGTTGAAACCAGTTCACCTCAGTAGTGCGTTGCGAAAAAAACAATGGAAAAAAATATTGGACAAAGAGTTTGCATCAAATTTTGTGTTTCGAACGAAATTTCGTGTGCAGAATCGTTGCGAATGCTACAAAAGGCTTATGGGGAATCAGTTTTATCGAAAACTCAAGTTTATGAGTGGTACAAAGCCTTTCAGGACGGTCGTACGACCGTCGAAGACATTTCGCAACGCACTACTGAGGTGAACTGGTTTCAACAGCTGCCGTAAACGAACTGTCTGACAGATCGCGCTCATTTTTGGCATAGTAATTAAGGACAGTGCTGCCAAACTACATAAACTTAAAATATCGAAAAATATACAGCGCGCGAATTTTAAATGAGAATTTCCGAAAACTTTTCAGTCTTAATGTATATGAACCATCATTAAGGCGTTGTATAAAATTCCTATATCAGAGGTTACTTATAAACATCAATAGACATTAGATATAACAATTAACATAAAACTTGATTGTATATTAGCAATATGACTAGATAAACACCGTAATATTAAGTGGTTTCAGTAGTTTCAGTGACATTCAGTACACATAATTTTAGATATAACCAAGTTTATTGACATATCAGATAAATTCGTTTTACTTGAATAATGAATAGCGCTTTCTCAAAAGGATACTGTTCTTACAGTGAATGCTTAGGAGTTATACATTTAAGGTGGTTTTTCAAGAATTTTCTGAAATCAGTCCACATTCAAATAGAAAGATTCATAACCACATTTATTCGAATATTAAATCTATTTAATATGATTAGAATTTTCTGCAGAATGCATTACCGTTGAAGTACGTCTAAACACTGGAATTTTGGAACAGTGAATCAGTCATACTATACTGTAACCCATAGTAGAGGACGACAAAGAGCACCATTTAGTATTTGCATAAGAACAGTCTACAGAATATTTACTGCCACACTTTATACATGCAATTATATAGACAAGCAGCACCAAACACCGCCAAGATTCAAGAAATTAGATTCTCCATAAAGATGGAGAAAATGAAAAATAACAGACATTTTTAACATTATGAATACTTTTCAAAGTCTGAAAAGGGTCTGAAAATTCAGAAAATTAGGTATGTCTTTCAATTACTAAAATTTCACTTTACCATAATATAATGTCATCAATCTTATATAGGTCATTTAGAAGGTACAACCGCATTTGAAAGTTTTTTGACTGAATTGCATAATTTAGGAATTCGGGTTTCAGTGCAACAGATGACAGCTAATATACTAGATAAGCGTGATAAATGGTTTATGTAAGATATATTTATTGGTCAATGTAATTAAAATAATTAAAATTAAAAATATTTCAGCTATAGTGAAATTGGACACTTTGAAACTACTTCCACTATGGGTTGTTATATCTTCAATATAAATCCAGCACTGGCAATTGTCTTCAATCACATTAGCTTTAATAATCTCACGATGAGAGATGCTAGCATAAATGATATTGAGAGACTGAAAAACACATACATTAAAAAAAAAATTCCCCTATTAATTTTAAAAGACGGTAGCGCCGAGGAGGTAAAACGCACAATGAATGCTGGTAAATTCTTTCCGATTAGCAACTATCTATTTTATTAAAATTTTCCAATAAATATAGTCGAGAAGCTAGAATTTAAAAATTTAAAACAATTATATGTAACGGTTATGTCACATGGAGATGAGGGCGATATTATTTATACCAAAACTGATACTTATAATATTAAAGAAACGGTCCTTAATCCCTTACTCGCTAATGAAAGTTTGAAGGATGTGCAAAAAATTGTACTAGTAAATGCTTGTCGCGGTGATATTGATCCACGTTATGAAGACGATGATTTAGAATATGAAGAAACTAACACAGATGAAATAGATGAAAATTTGGTAACATTTTATAGCACACAAAAAGGTACAATATATTGACTGAGGTATTTCAATGTATAAGTGTACGCTCATACATACATATTATCTATATATATAATACATATATGTTATATATTTTAATCAAAGACAAATATAAAAAATTATATTATATTCTTCTAGGTTATGTTTCTCTGTTACCAGCGGATGGTGCAGTTTTCATTAAAGAATTTTGTGAACATTTCGATATACCATTCAAAGAATCATCAATGGAAGAGATCGCTGAACGTATGGAAACAGTCTTGCAGAAGAAAATGAAGTATGTTTAAGAATTTTAGGTGATATATTATATTATAACATTGTTTAATGTTCACCATTTTACAGTTTCTGCGAGAAAGTTACAGACTATTGTGCAAAACCAGGTGTTCTACATAATATTAAAATGGAATTCAAAAATTTGAGAGGTTATAAAGGCCTTTTTAAAAAAATTAGTGAAGTTATAGACAATGTTTTTTTTAGTAGTGATGATATTGTACCCGCAGAAGATACAAGATTGGTTAGATGTCAGCATTCTAACTGATTACTTATTTATAAATTAGTTTTTTTGAATAAATAATTTATTACACATACCTATTTTTAAATTATATTAATTTATTTATATATTTTTTGGTTCTTACACATTTCATTATTTTTAGCACATATATTTTTCATTAAGTTTCAACAAGACGAGTATGAAGTTGAAATCCTCTTATTTTAAATTATTTTGCATTAGATATAATTAATTCCATTCAATGAAATGGAATTAATTATATTTTTTCCTCCTTGAATATCTCTCTGTATACGCTCACGACTGTCAGTCTAATAGACTCTCCTCAGAAGGAAATTTCCTTCGTCGGCGTAAAGCCTGCTATGCGCATGATCACTTTTATTTGATTTGAGGATCACCTTGTCTGAAGCCTCGCACGGTATCATAAGGTTCGGAGAAACTCGATCCTACCTTGATGGACCTGCGAGTATTGCTCAACGTCATTCTGCATTCTGTTGTATTAACTTTGCAGGGATGCGGAGCTCAGACAATGCGGCGTAAATGCGATCCCTTATGGGCCTATCAAAAGATACTTTATAATCGACAAAACGGTGGTGAGTGTCGTTGTTATGTTCGTGGACTTTTTCAAGAATTTGTGACAGTGTAAATGTCTGGGTTGGCATTTGGCTTCAACTTTTCACACAATACAGTTGAAAAGACCTTTTACACGACCATGTAAATATAACCTATTATAATAATACCGCAATATACATGATGTGGTTATAATCTATTTATGCAGCTTTGTTGTGCTTTCAGTCCTAGACTATTCCAATGCTGATATTACACTAGGTCTTACACCATGTTAACTCTTTGTGTTACTGTACTTCCAAAAGTGAGCTCTACCTTTTTTATTGATATCTTAAAGTCAAGTACATTTTACTGGTAAAACTGCTTATTATTGCCATAAATCGTTCTACTTTCTTTATTTCTCGAATGAAACCCGCAGAAAGATTTATTTTTTTAACATTGTTATAAGGATTAACAATTTAATCAAATATCTTTTCATTGCCTCCTCGAGGACACATAAATTCTAATATTCTGTTGCAAGTAAGTATTTCCTCATGTAACAACTCAGTTACGTTCCAGTTTAAATATGTTGTAGAGCTGCGGGGCACAACAAGTTGTTGTTATTAATGTTGTTGTTGTAACCTTAAGGGAACTCTTCCACTCCTACTTCGACTTCGACTTCGACTTCGACTTCGACAACGACTGCGGCAGCAAAGTAATTCGATAATTGTGGCATTAAGGAAAGGATATGGTATTTTGCGGCTTATAGTAGTTGCTTATGGTGTGTGGGAAGGTATGATTTTTTCCATTTATATTAATGGAGTTTCAAGGCAATAAAGAAAACTAAGCTTAAATATAAATTCATATAAGTTGGTTAGGAAAATATATAGCTAGAATGATTAAAGTGATGGTGGAAATTAAATTGAATTACTTGGTTTGCATTAGAAAACATTGTGATTAATAGTAGTAAGAAATTGTAGTAGCAGAGATGTATTAGATATAATTCACATAATGTTTATCTGATAAAATTCTTAAAATAGAAATACTATAAATGTATATTTTAACACTTCTCAGTTATTTTAAGCTGTAAATAAATGTTGCATATTAATAATAATTATTTGAATATACAATTTTATAAAATTATGTTCAGTGTTAAAATTTTTGAATCATTTCATCAAATCTCTAAAATTTGAGCAGCAGTAGAGCCGCAACTCTCACGCTATCCAACCCAGTGCATAAATAACTGGAGTAACCAGTGCATAATATCATGGATTTGTATTTAAGGGTACCGAGATATATAAAGAATCAAAATTGATATGAACTATGTAGGCAAAGTAGTTCTCGTTCCCAGAAGAACAAACTCTGATCTCATTAAAAGGTGTCCAGAAACATATCTATAATGATTTTTTTACAATAGCAGAATACAAGTGAAAACCTATAACATAGTAGGCATCAAAAAGTTCAAACTAAAATGGCTAAGCAAATATTTATTCATAACAAAAAATTTTATTCTGTTTTCTAAGGTAAATCATAGAGTCTCCTTAGAAGAAGGAACGTTCTCACATTCCATGCGTGTGGGAAAACTTATCAAAGTCAGTCTTCTTTTTCCTTGCTGGATCAAACAAAAGTTAGTATCTAAATCACTATTACTGAATAATGTGTATGACCATTTAGATGATCTACTGTTATAAAAGCTCCGTTGAATTCAGCTAATAAGTTATTCAGATGATTCAATAAAAGTATACTTTGAAGCCCAGCATATCTTCCTGATAGAATATATATTGCATTTGTTTTGAGAGAGTGCAATTTGGATTTTAGTATGCTTTTCTACAGAATACCACAACTTCAGCACTCTTTTTCATCACAATTTCTAGTTTTTACTCAAGTATCTCCTGGGTAGCTTGTATATATTCGTTCAGAATCTTACTAATTACAAAATGGCGTAGTCATTTGTACCCATCTTTAATGTACGTTTCACAATTAAACCTCCAAACTTAGCTAGTGCACCGAGGCGTTAAAAATCTTGTAGGTTTCATGCTAAAGTCCATCAAGTATTATTAATATTTGGTTTTCGAAAAGTGTGCCCTATCCAACACGCTTGCATTTTATATTTTTTTTTTTGCTATAATTTGGTTTGTTTAAACCCACGAATCGATATTGCATATTCTCTGGGATTACTAGAAGGGCAGAATCCTGTGCAAACGTTGGTTTATAAAGACTTGAGTTTTGGACTGGAATGCATATTTATAAATTTGCAAAGTTTTAGAGAGTTTTTTATGAATGTCCAAAACTTATATATTTTTAGAATGAACGAAAGTACCTCTAACCTTATTGATTATGATGATGTATTTCGGTGCTCTGTTAAATATATGTTATAAAGCTTCCGAGGTATGTTATTGATTGCATCTCCTTAACTCCACGCTTCTTGACGAATGGAAGAAGATGTAACCTCGTATCTGGTGCTAAGGACCAAGGTTTTACCATTAATAATAACTAATCTCAGTTTACGTACGATTTGAAGGGTAGAAAAAGTATAGCAAAGTAGACATGCGTCATGAGTATATGCCAAATCTTCCGGTCGCGTAAATGGTGTACATGGTCCATGTCTAATGATACTTTCATTATTGTATTATTATTTCATTCGGTTGTATAAACAAAATATATCTTTTAAGGTAAATTTTTTCTTGCCGATAATGGCGTGTCTTTTTATGACGAAAGAAACTATTTAAAAGTTAGACCGATTCGAATAGCAAAGAAAAGAAACTTGAGCATTGAAAGTTTGTGCAGCCTTGGCTTCTTGTGGATAAACACGATTAGTCATCGCTTCTAATTTGACAGGGACGAGTTCTAAGCCTGGCACTTGCAGTCCAAACAAATTATATACGGACTATAAACTAATTAAATAAAATTCGATTATTTCCAAAGACCACGGATGAAGAGTACTTGGCAATACTCGAAACAGCGTTGTATGGTCAGTCAAATTTCAATAAAATTAAATAAAAAAATTTTTGTCTTTGCCTTTCTTTGCTATTCGAATCGGTCTAACTTTTAAAATATACCTTATTTACGAGAAAACAAGTTGCTAGGAATATAAGTCAGCAGATTTATCAACTAAACGTTATATTTGCAGAATTTAAAACAAATTTTACATCCTTGACCTCATGAAATTTTGAAACTTTTGTTGTCAGTATTAAATTCTCTAATGCATAAATAAATTAAAACAGTTTGGCTTCAAAGTACAATATAAACCGTAAAATTATTCTAAAAATAAAGCATTTCCCATGGTTTGGTTTTTGTTATAAACTATTTAGCAGTTATTTTACTTTATTTTTATTTATTTTAATTTTGTTTTCCACTCTTTACTTTTAGTATTTTAAAATATAAAATAAGTTTAGACATTTAGCAAAATGAAACTATGCATATTTCTTATCCACTTATTCAAATCCTTGCTCATAAAAAACCTTTCCACCTGTTTAGTTTAAGTCAACCGCAGAGTAAAATTATATAAAAAGTATATATAGAGAGATATATGCATAAAAAGGAATCACTTTTTTTACGAGTACTGCCATTAACATTTCCGGAACAATGCCATTAGCTTCTCTACGTTCGCTACGTTTGTTACGTTGGCTTCCATGTGCAATTCATCAACGCCGATAACATTTCAAAACCGTATCCGTATCCGCATCATTCACACTATGTTTACCTTTGGCTACAGTCTGCCACTTTATACTTGCCTCTTCCCTATTTAATGTAATGCTTTTTACACTGTAAGCTCAATTTCAGAAAAAAGAATAATAAAATTAGTTTTTTTTTTGGTTTTTCTAGAAAATAGCAGAAACTTTTAGTTTAAATAAAAAAATAAAAAAAAAAAATGGAAAAGAAATCACAAATGCTACCGCAACGCGCAGCTTGCAATAAACAAACCATGGAAAATCCATTTTTTACTCGACCATTAATAAAAACAACGTAACGCTACGTGTAATGTTGTAATGTACGTAGTTCGGTTACGTTATGCAAATGCAAGCGTAAATACAAAAACCGAAACCAACAACGGCGGAATAAGTAAAATAGCTTCACAATATGTCTGGGAAAGTTGGAAAATAGAAAAATTGTTAAAGAAATACTATTGAGTTTCATGCAAAAATCTTTAGAGTAAACTTTTATAAACGCGTCCCAAAAAAAATTCGTTAAAAAAGTTATATTTTCACGCTGAACGCAATTTGCAACTTCAATTTTCTTGCAAAACAAAATATAAAGAAAGTATGAAGATTTATGCATCCACGTAATACTCGTATACAAAACTATAAAATTGATATGTTGCCAAACCGTGTAGACCAGTGTACTGGTCCCGGTGTGCTGCCACAGCGCATTTCCAATTCCATGTACTTTTTGGTAAGCTTAAATATTTTTAAAAATATAACTAAGCAATTTAGAAAAATCAATTTGGAAACAAAATACAATTTGTCTATGTATTATATTTACATATT